AGTCAAAGCTTCAAATGGTTCTGTCAGAATTCGAAGCCCTCAGAATGAATGAAGAAGAAACCATTTCGACCTTCCACAGTAGGGTTCAGAATCTTATGAACCGAGCCTCAATTCTTGGTGAACCATTCACTGATGAGAGAGTGGTCAAAAAGATCCTTCGATCTTTACCTAAACGCTTTCGAATGAAAGTAACTGCTATTCAGGAACACACAGGTTGGGAAAAGAAAACTGTCGGAGAACTTATGGGAAGCTTACACACATATGAACTAGAAGTTCTTGCTGATGATGATCTTGGAAGCAACAGAAAAGGAAAGTCAGTGGCCTTTGTGGCTGAGGCTGATCGAGAATCTGACACAGACAACATAGATGATGAAACCTTGGCACTTCTAACCAAGAATTTCAAGAAAATCTTAAAAGATTTCAACAGAAAGGGTCAAGGTCAGCCTACCAGGACACAATACAAAGGCAACAACTCCTCATATCAAAAGGCTAAAACAACACCTTTCTCACAGAACAATCAATCTCAGACTGGTCGAACAAGACAAAATAGAAACAGTCCCACAGACACAGGTAAATCTCTCAACCGGTCAGTACAGTGTAGGGAATGTGAAGGATATGGACACATACAGGCTGAATGTGCAACGTATCTCAAGAGGAAAAAGGCTATGTCTGTAGCTACATTAAGTGATGATGAGGAGGAAACTTCAAATGATCAGTAAGATGATAATGTGGGAAACTTTGTAGCCTTCTTTACGACGGACCTTCAGTCAGACGGAGACCAATCAGATGAAGAATCTTACATATCAACTGATGATTTTGAAGAGAGACATACTCAACTTGAAACAGAATTTGCAAAACTTGTTGCTAGCTGGGAACAACTTGTGAAAGTAAACAAAAATCTGAATGACGAGCTGAAGCAAAGAGATGATCTTCTAAAGAAACTGAATACAGACCTTGTCATAAAAGAAGATCTTATCACTCAGATAAGATCCAGAGAAGGAAAACTGATCAAGGAATTGGAGAGTCTGGAGAAAAATATCCAGATGATGGACACCACATCAACCTTAGATAAGATTCTAGACTCTGGCAGAAATCCTAATGATAACAAGGGTTTGGGATTTGAAAGAGATGAATCTTCGAAAAATGCACCTATGTTCATAAAAGAGGGTATGTCTAAGACCATAGCTGTTCACAGATATGAACACGGATAGTCATCTCAGTCAGTGCAGAACAAGGGAAGGAGGTACGACCAGACTACTGATACTGGCCTGGCCAAAGTAACTCATCAATCTCATTATTCAAGGTTCAAAAATAAGATTGTCAAAGTTAAATATTATACCCCTATTTGTCACTACTGTCAAACAAAAGGTCACACTCGGCCTGAGTGTTATTTTTTCTACAGAGATCAAAGGAAGGAAAAATATCAGAATAAGACTATTACACCATTCACTAGACAGGTTTGGGTCAGGAAATCAGAAGTTATCTGCTACCCCACCATAGTTCTGACTGCATCTACAACTGAAGCTAGATGGTATTTCGACAGTGGGTGTTCCAGACATATGACAGGAAATGTTAAGTGTCTGATGGCTGTTCAACCTAGCAGTGGAGCTGTAACATATGGAGATGGACAAAAAGGGAAAATATTTCAGAAAGGTATCTTGAATGTACCAGGTTTACCTCAATTAGAAGAAGTCCTGCTAGTCAGTGGGTTGAAAGCGAATCTGATTAGCATCAGTCAGTTGTGTGATCAAAATTGGAATGTGTGCTTCGATTGTAACTGCTGCAGAGTTAGTGACAAAGCAAATTAACTAGTCATGGAAGGAACTCGGTCCTCAGAAAATTGTTATGTTTTGACAAATGAAACTGCTTGTCACCTATCCAAATCTGATGAATCAAAACTCTGGCATAGACGACTGGGTCACGTAAACTTCAGAGATATGGATAAGCTTATAAAAATGGAAGTTGTGAAAGGTGTACCTAAGATCAGAATAGATCCAGAAAAAATCTGTGGCGCATGTGCTATTGGGAAACAAATCAGAACTCCACAAAAAGCAGTAAGCGGCATCACCACTGAGAAGTGCCTAGATCTTGTCCACATAGACCTCATGGGGCCAACACAGACTGAAAGCATTGGGGGAAAGAAATACATATTTGTGTGTGTAGATGATTTCTCTCGATACAGCTGGGTATACTTTCTAAGAGAAAAAACATAATCTTTCAAGGCCTTTAAAACTCTGTGTATAAGGGTTCAGAAGGAAAAGGATGAGTCTATAATAAAAGTTCAGAGATTGAGGAGTGATCATGGAAAGGAATTTGAGAACTCACTATATTCAGATTTCTGCTCCGAGCACGGTATATCACATGAGTTCTCAGCCCCTAGAACAGCTCAACAGAATGTAGTAGTGGAAAGAAAGATTCGAACTTTACAAGAAATGGCTAGAGTCATGCTACATGCCTCGCATCTGCCGCAGCGCTTTTGGGCTGAAGCAGTACACACAGCCTGTCATACTATAAATATGGTCTATCTTATACCAGGAACAACCAAAACACCATATGAGATCTGGAAGGGAAAGAAGCCAAATCTGAAGTATTTTCATGTGTTTGGGACAAAGTGTTATTTGCTGGCTGATAGAGAACAAAGAGGAAAGTTCGAACCAAAGAGTGATGAGAGCATCTTCTTTGGATACTCTCCAAACAGACGTGCCTACAGAGTCTACAACAAGAGGACTCAATCTGTGACGGAGTCAGTAAATGTGGTTATAGATGACAGTACAGAAGAATCAGTAGACACAACAGTGACAGATTCAGTGACAGAGCTTCCTCTTAGTGACCCAACTGCCACTAATAGCAACAGTCAGCCCAAACCACAAGAATCGTCAGATGAAGATCAAGAAAGTTCGGAACAGGAGACAAACCTCATAAATGATACAGGTAAAGACAAACCCACCAGAACTTAGAAAAACCATCCATCAGATAACATCATTGGAGATCCATCAGATGGGATGAAGACCAGGAGCAGAATAAGAAATAATCTGACAGAAATATTTGGGTCTGCTTGCTATACCTCAAAGATAGAACCCAAGAATGTTAAAGAAGCTTTACAGGATGATCTGTGGATCAAGGCAATGCAGGAGGAGCTACATCAGTTTGAGCGAAATCATGTCTGGGATCTAGTTTCAAAACCTGATGGTGTCAACGTAATTGGAACAAAGTGGATCTTTAAAAATAAAACTGATGAAGCTGGGAATATAGCAAGGAACAAAGCTCGGTTAGTGGCTCAAGGGTATACTCAGATTGAAGGAATTGACTATGATGAGACTTTTGTTCCCGTAGCTAGACTCGAGTCAATCAGGATTTTGTTGGCTGTCGCATGTATTTTGGGATTCACACTATTTCAGATGGATGTCAAGACAGCATTCCTGAATGGCCATCTCCAAGAAGATATCTATGTGGCTCAACCTAAAGGTTTCGAAGATCCAGATTATCCATCATATGTCTATAAGCTTCGAAAAGCTCTCTATGGTCTCAAACAAGCCCCACAGGCATGGTATGAACGACTGACACAGTATCTGCTCCAGCATGGGTATAAATGGGGAAGTGTTGACAAAACCTTGTTTGTAAAAACCACTGGAATTCATGTAACCATAGCCCAAATCTATGTTGATGACATTGTGTTTGGATCAACCTTACAGAAATACACTGACGAGTTAGTAAAAGTGATGAAGGAAGAATTTGAAATGTCCGTGGTTGGTCAACTGACATACTTCCTAGGTCTACAGGTCAAGCAAAGCCCTGAAGGATACTTTATTTCACAAGAAAAGTATGCTAAGAATCTAGTCAAAAAGTTTGATCTGGAATCATATAAATCATCCAGGACACCAATCTCCACCTCCACAAAAGTATCGAAAGATGAAACTGGCGTATCAGTGGATAACACAGTCTATCACAGCTTGATAGGCAGTCTGTTGTATCTAACGGCCAGTCGACCAGATATAATGTTCAGTGTTGGAATCTATGCAAGGTATCAATCTGAACCAAAGGAATCACACCTGATAGCTGCAAAACGCATTCTGAAATATGTTAAAGGAACGATGCAGTATGGCCTCTGGTACTCCAAGGACAGTGAACTGAGTCTTGTTGCATACTGTGATGCTGATTGGGCAGGAAATATTGATGATCGAAAGAGTACTTCTGGAGGATGTTTCTTTGTTGGTAAGAACTTAGTATCATGGCTAAGCAAGAAACAGAATTCAATCTCACTAAGCACCGCACAGGCAGAATACATAGCTGCATGTGGATGTTGTACTCAGTTGGTATGGATGAAACAGATGTTGCTGGATTATGGTCTTACTCAAGGGATAATGACACTCTATTGTGACAATGTCAGTGCTATTAATATCTCCAAGAATCCAGTTCAACATTCCAGAACGAAGCATATTGACATCAGGCATCATTACATCAGAGACCTGGTTGAATCCAAGGAAATTGAATTGGAATACATTCAAACTGACAAACAACTAGCGGATATTCTGACTAAGCCACTGGACGCTAATCGTTTTGAAATTCTCAGGTCTGCTCTGGGAATTTGCAGAATTGACTAATTAAAGCAGTTGGTCAGTCAGAGAGGAGTAAGTGTTGGTTTATACGGGTCAGTATTATGGTTTGACTTTCTTTAAAGACTCCTCTCTATTTTTGTTAAGTGGATTATTTAACCATTTGTATCTTAAAGATATCTTAAAAGATCTTAATCTTTTTTTTCGAAATTCAAATTTTCTTGGGTTCCGTTTCCTTCCTAAAAAGAAGCCGTACCGTTGTGTCAATCAATCGCGTCTGCATGATATTTGACAAGCCACATTGATTAGGGTTCATCACCCATAAGTCTATTTGATACCGGGCCAAGAATAAAAATATCTTCAAGCATCTCAGCTCTCAAACCTTCTCTCTTTCAGCACACCTGCCTTACGTGATTTGTTCTTCTCTTCTCACGAAAAATTTCTTCAATGGCGGACCCTGTAAGAAATATCATCATCAAACTCGGAAGCAAGACACATTCTCCAGAGGTGGCTCTTAAACATATTCAGACACTATTGCAGTTTGCTATGAAGAAGAAACTCAAGCTTGATCCTCTGCTTCGCGACGAGATTTTGTTGACTGTTATGACGAACTACCCAGAGTTTTATGCTGAATGATCTGAAGATGATGCGACTGAACTGCTGATGATGGTTTCCGAAGCCAGTGATGAAGTTTCTCCAGTATCTATTCTAGAACCCTCGGATGGAAATCGGGCCGGGGCATTCCTTCGATAATTTGTACAACGAGCCCCAGAATCTGCGGAGGTCTCTTGACGGCGAGCGGAGTCACAGCCTTTGTATCTCGAAGCTGCTCAGAAAGAAGCAAGGCACAGACATGAGATCCTCCAAAACAGGTCAAACAATTCTGATACTCCTATTGAAATTTCACCGGATAAACCTGATGATTCTGCTACCCCATCTTGTGTGCCTGTTAATACTAAAATTTTATCTGCTTTGAACTCTGAGAACCCCTTTGTGAATGTTGATCCTACATCCCTGCCGTTGAGTGAGTCTGTTGATGTGAAAAATGATATCTTGCATGTGTTTGATGTGAAAGAAAAATCCTCTGATGAGCCAAATAACCTGAGTTTAGTTGTCTACTCTTCTGATAATATTGCTCTGCCTCCTGCTGAGATTGCTGATGATCCTAAAGAAATTTGCTCTGCTGATGTCACTCCTGTTTTACCTGCTAATGTTGAAACTATCGATCTCTCAAACCCCCATAAGTCTGAGAAAACTGGTGGAATCCCAGTCTACACTGCCACATCATTAGGTGAAAGTCTGAAACAGGTGCGACACTTTGCTGGCCTACCATCTGCTTCAATTCCTCAATCGTATCGAGTGATTCATCCATTTGAATCCTCCAGCGAAGATGATAAAATTCTGGCTGAAGTGTATGGATCTCAAATACCTCCATATGACATTCCAACTGTTAAGGCCACTGCTCATCATGACTCCAGGACCTTCAAAATTCGAGAGATTTCGAATCTTATAGGGAACTCATCTGCCAATGTCTCTGATTCTAGTCACTCTGTGACTCCTGTTCAATCCCCAACCAAAGAAACAAGACGGTCTAAAAGGAAGAATGTTCCAGTAAAGGTAGTTGTTGAGACCGGTGATGACAGTGCTGATGTGGATCAGCCTGAGAAGAGAAAGAAGTCGAGTGAGGCTGTCAAGTCTGAAGGAAATCCACCTATTCAACATGTGTTCAAGACACTGCGATCGTCTGTTAAGCAAAAGGGCTCTATTGCTGTTCAAGCTACTTCTGTACCTGCATCATCTGCCAGAAAAGGGAAGCCATCCACACGATCAGAGGTCGAAGCATTACTCCTGAGGTTCAACCTGTTGAGGAAACTGACCCATCTGTTTACAGACCTCAGTTTGTATCTCCTGCTGCTCAGGCCAAATGGTCTACTATGGTCAGAAGGGACCTTATTGTTCAACGATCTGTGGATGAGAACCAGCTGAACTCTGTATGTGACATTCTACCTCTGCTGAATGAAGTAGGATTGCTGAAGACTGTCACAGACATCTGCCCATACTCTAAGCTCCTCACGTATGAATTCTATTGCAATCTAAATGACGAGATTGACATCTTAACCGGACCTCGTCCGATGCAGATCTTCATCAGAGGAAGGTGGTACATTTTTTGGCCTGACATGATCAATGAATACTATGGTCTGACTGCTGTGCAAGAAGAAGGTGTCACTGACTGGAACTTGGTGGCCAAAACTCTTACGGGTGGACAGACCGAAGCTTGGCCTACTGGTGACAAGGACTATCTGCAGAGCTCTCAACTCACATCCAGATATGTTATTTTACATCGCCTGGCCCTTCACAACTGGCTCCCATCAGCCCATTTCCACACGGTTGGCAAGCTTCTGGCAGGCTTCTTGTTTCGAATTGGAACGAAGATGCCAATTAATCTAGGAAAATGGATTTACTATCACATCCTTACCTTGATTCATCCACGGGAGCAGAAGGTAAGACTACCCTTCCCAAATCTGATTTATGGCATTCTTACAACTCAGGGTCTTGAGCCTATGCCCAGTGAAGTGATCAGTCCAACGCTGCTCTATACTGTTGATAAACGTCTGCTGACTGGAGATCACATTCGGGATGTTGTTCCGGTGACTGCCCCATCCAATTCTGAACCTGACGCTGTGCCTGATGACTCTCCCCATGCTAAGGATGTTCAACTTTCCATACAGTTGAAGGCAAGGGTCGCTGATCTTGATACAGTACTCAGCATTATTGCAAAGCAACTGACAGGGGCTCGTACTGAGCTGGCAACCGTTCTTCTTCATTTAAGCCTATTTGAATCTGCTGCTGCTGCTGATCCTGTGAAGTCTGACAGTGACACTCCCTCCAATGCTTGACCTTTGGCTATCATTGGCAAAAAGGGGGAGTAGTATGAACTCAGGGGGAGTTTTTGTGTTTGTGTACCTTCTGGCCCTGGCTGGGCGTTGTTTTTTATGGCACCACTTCTTGTTTTTTATCATAAACTGTTTTGGATCTTATGTTTTTTTGTTTTAGTTCTATGTAATTAGATCGGACTCATGGGTTGCTTCTTTATAATAACATATCTTAGTTCTTTATATTTTGTCTATCTATATAGTCGAGTTGTTTTGCCAAATAATAGCCAAAGGCGGAGTTTGTTAGTGTTTTTAAATGTTCAAAAACCCCATATTATAATTGGCAATATTATTATGGCATACTAAGATAGGTTTAGAGTCTATCCGTCCAGCTCTACAGACGACTGATCAATCAGAAGCAACAACAGAAGGACTGACACTGAAGATCTGATTTAGGAAGCTGATTTCTAAAAGACTGTACGCGGTATTATCAGACAAGTTTGGAAAGAAGATCAGCGTATATTTTCAAGAAAGGTATGGACCTAATCTTCTGAGATTATATTCCTCTTTTATAGTCCTACCTTCTACAATCAAAGTCATCTATGGAGAGTGTTTATTGAAGAATCTATAAGTACTCTTATTCGAAGAGAATTAGGGTTACGCTGAAAGTAAGAAGAAACACTCCCTCTCTGCTATATGAGACGAGATCTTTGATTGACATGCATCTTCTCAATACAATATGTTCTTGGTGATTAAGATGATGAACTTGAGAAGAATCACTGCTGCTTAAACGAAAGGACACTATGATCACACTGTTGTTGGAACAACTGTAAAGAGCGTCATTGAAGTGGACTGCATCAGAGTGGGCTCTCCAAGTGAAGGGATTTCATTGGACTTCTGTATGCATGGCTCTCCATCTTTAACAATCCACTAAACCTGTGTAGACTGGGTATGTACCTTGTGTGGGGAACTTGGGTAAGATTATTGTATATCTACCTTTGTACATTGGATTATGAATTAGTGGATTGGATGCCTATGTGATCGTCCCCCAGACGTAGATACACACTGTATTGAACTGTGTAAATATTCTGTGTCGTTGGGTTTGTGATGTTATCTTTCTCTTTCATCTTCTCCATGATTTATTATTACTGACTGACTTCGTAACTGAATAAATCAGTAATCTCTGACAGTTGATTAATCCTGTTAATCTGTCTAAAAAGAGAAAATGCAAAATTACATTATTTATTATCATCCTCTATTGACAACAATTGTCATTAACAAACTCCCAAAAGAATTTGTCTCAACAACGAATTGAAAATAAAAAAATCAATGACTTTATTATATTATTGTGGATGAAAAGTAATTATCTCACTCTATTACTATTATTAAATTAAATAAATTAGTAGCTACAAAAAAAAATAATTCATATACATTTCTTTAATTTAGAATTAGATGTCTACAATGCCTTTATTTTTTTTTTTAAATATTCATTATCAAAAAATTTAGTATATATATATATATATATATATATATATATATATATATGAGTTAATACCACATGAAGTCCTCCGAGTATAGTGGTCTTGCCACGTTTAGTCCTAAACTTTCGAATTGACCGTCTGTGGTCATTCGACTTTTAAATTTAACCATTCGTGGTCCAAGTTAACCACCCATGGTCCTTCAACCACCAGCCGCGGTCCTCTTGAAAGGACCTTGGTTGGTTAAAATTTAATAGTTGAAGGACCATGTGTGGTTAACTTGGACCACGAATGGTTAAATTTGAAAGTCGAAGGACCACATATGGTCAATTTGAAAGTTTAGGTCTAAACGTGGCAAAACCACTATACTCGGAGGACTCAGATGGTATTAACTCATATATATATATATATATATATATATATATATATATATTTATGTGTGTGTGTGTGTGTGTGTTAGGGTTTTGCCCGCTTGGAATAGGAGTAGATTGCAGCAGCTCCTTTAGTTGTCTGTCTACGATTTTTCTGTAGTCGTTGAAATAAGAATGAGAAAATAGAGAACAGACGAAGACAAATATTTTCTCAAAGGTGTAAAGGCGCGTCCGTCTGTGATTTTTCTGTAGTCGTTGAAATAAGAATGAAAAAATGGAGAAAAGACGAAGACAAATATTTTTTCAAAGGTGTAAAGGCGCGACGATAATCAAGAAAATGTTATTTAAAACAAATTTTGTACACCTATCTAATTATGTTTAATATTTAGGTAATCGAATTATATTTGCAGGTATGAAAAGTAATACTAAGTTTTTCCCTCCTAAATTTTCCTCGTGATGCGCAATTAGAGTAAAATTAATTTCTTGATTAATTTAGAGTAAAAATCAATTATTATACAATTGATAGTTATTTACTATATTCATTAGTATATATATATATATATATATATATATATATATATATATATATATATATATATATATATATATATGTATATTCGCACATGCGTTGCACGTGATAAATTTGTTATAATATTTTAAAAATATTTAGATCGATATACAATTGTATAAATTATAACATCGAATATTATATAATATAATTGAAGAATTGAGTTGTATCGTACCGATTATTTTTTTTTGATGTTATCATTGTTTGAATTCGAGCAAATAATTGCCCAATTAATAGCTAACGTGTAGATATACGCATTCGGTGCTGCAACTTTAGAGATTTTATATATTAGTGTTTAGGATTTGTAATAATTGGGCTAATTAGCTTGTTGTCTAGCAACTCATTTATAGAATTTATTTATACGGAAGATATATTTTTATGTAGATATATAGCAATTTTGTCATCTTTGTATAAAAAAAAAAAAAAACATAATATCACTGACTTGAATTACACATTATTGAAAATCTCTTTGTAGAGGACATTGGTAGTAGTAACAGAATTTTATCCATCATCATCTAGAGTTAAAACCATCAGGATGGGTGACTCGGGAAAAAAGCCACATACAATTAACCGTGATTAAATATTGATATTTTTCATTAATAACTCAACGTGAGTTAGCGTTTGACCCTGACTTTCGTTGATAGTCATGGCATATGCGAGCATCAACGTGAATTGTTTTCGTTAGAACTTGAAGGGCAATCTCGTATCAAAATGGGAAAGACATTTTAATTGAAGATTTACTTTTATCAATAGTATAAATTATTATTTCTTTATAAAATTACAGAATTTCAAATGGATTTTTCATTTATTACGCAGAATTTGTTTCCGTTATTCTCACAATTATAATGGTTTAATTATTCTCAGAATTTGGTAACCATTTTTTTATTTTTATATACATATTGACTTTAATTTGTGGTAACAATTCATTAGATATTAGTTACTTTTTATATAAAATTTTGTTACCAATTAAGCATTATTAATTTTATACTAATTAATTAATATTCATATTAATTTGGGCTAGAATGTTATAAAGGAGGATTTTATTTTTATTAATTTGTACCAACCACGTGGACGGCAACTGCGCCCCTCTCTCGGGGCCATACACGTGCCGTTCTTCACCGTACATTCCTGCGCCCCTCTCGCGCACATCCTGCGTCGCACGCGCACTCGTGTCCACGCAACCAACGCCTCCCCGACCCACATTCACCTCACGAATGGCAGCCACCCCCCCTGCACGCCCGTACGCACGAGCAGCCGCCACCTTCCGGTGCCACGCACGCGAGCCGCCCCCATCCTGCATGCATGCGATCGCGCACGCATGCGAGCTACCGCCACCCTGCATGCATGCGACCGTGTAGCACGCGAACCACTGCCACCTTGCATGCATGCAACCACACGCGAACCGCTGCCACCCTGCGTGCACCCCATACGCGGTTGTCGCCCACGCCCATGGGCTCATTCACTAGCTCCTTCCTCTTGGGCCTGCACCCCTTATGCCCACGGACTCAGGCCCAGCTCATTATATTCCATCAATATATATATATATATATATATATATATATATATATATATATATATATATATATATATATATATATATATATATATATATATATACGTGCAATATACGTGTATGACAACTTAATTTAAGCGTTACAAGAAATTAAAAGAAAATATAATTTTAAAAAGAAATTTAGTAACTTAAAGATTCAATAGCTATCATAAGCTTTTACACGTCCCATTACGTCTATGAGCAAAATTGGCAGCAATGAAAGGCATTTCAGCAATCCTTTTGTTACGGATCCTATAAATTAAAACAACATTATATACTTAATAAGCTAATGAGAGAAAAAAAAACGAAGAAAGAAATAAAAAATGAGAAAAAAATAAAATCTTTTAATTGTATTAACGCACCAAGTGGAAATGTGTAGTGCATACGCCCACTAAGCGCGCGACGCAAACTAGTACCTCTATCTTCTTCTTCTTTTTTTTTTTTTAATTATAAATTTTAATCAGAATACCTCTTGTTAAGGTTTGGTCCATTTGTTGTTTGGAATGAGAATTTTTTGCACTCAAACAGCGTCATGGAAGATCTTTGTGTTGTAGTTTATTAGTTGTTTCTTTGTTTCATCATCCAATATACCAAATCCATACTTTTCTTTCAACATTTTTCCTCTTATTAATTTTTTTTTTTTTTTTGCAAATGGGATGATTAGTTTCTCAATATTGAGGTAGCAATGTGCCTGCAGAATATATATATATATATATATATATATATATATATATATATATATATCACCGTTATGCATGTCATATATGTTGGGAAATCAAAATAATGTTTTCTATTTTAAAAAGAAAAGATTCATATAGTGAAATAAAGGTGTTAGCTTGGTCATATGGGAGCGCGTGCAATATGCGTGTATGACGACTTAATTTAAGCGAGAAAGGAAATTAAAAGTAAATTACTTATAAAAATATAATTTTAAAAAGAAATTAAGTAACTTACATATTCAATAGCAATCATAAGCTTTCTACACATTTCTATACGTTGAGTAAAATGGGCAACAATGAAAGGCATTTTAGCAATCTTTTCGTCATCGATCCTATAAATTAAAACAACATTATATACTTAATAAGCTGAGAGAGAAAAAAAAGTGGAAGAAAGAAATAAAAAATGGGAAAAAAATAAAATCATTTAATTGTATTAACACACCCAGTGGGCATGTGTAGTACATAGACCCACTGAGCACTGCTGGTGCGCGCGACGCGCACTGGCACCTCTATCTTTTTTTAAAAAAAGATTTATAAATTTTAATCAAAATACCTCTTGTCAATGTTTGGTCGATTTGTTGTTTGGAAGGAGGATTTTTTGCAGTCTAATAGCGTCATGGAACATTAATTTATTGAATTTGTTGGCCGGTTTATTTTTCTACAAACCCTAGAATTTGGTGGCAGTGGCTATTGAATCAGACCGGCGGCCAAATCCGACAGCGGCGACATCTCTATCTCCTCTTCCGCCTTCACGTCTTGCATTGCCAGAACCTCGACCACCATCTTAAGGATGCTTTTGGGACGATGATCCATGGATTATCCCGTCTGAAATCCTCGTTGCCCAAGTCGAAGCTGGCAGATTTCGTCGCCTTGGGGACCGCCGACGCCATGGACAAGAGGTTAGTATTGGAGAAGAGGCCAACAAAGATGACATGAGTATTTACATTATTGTCCTTCATTTAGACGGTGGCTTCACGGTCAAAGATTTGGAGGACGAAATCATAGTCGAGGACCAAATCAGTAGTTTCGCAATAGTCAAAGGACCAAATCGGTTATTAACTCTTAAAAGAAATTAAATATACACATATTACGTCCATAATTAAACGAAATTTAATATACACATTATTTTATTAAGAATAATATATATACTCCCTAATTACCATAATTATTCTGATTAAATGGACGTCATAATAATTAGCATAATATTAATTAAGAATAATATATACTCCTTAATTAATTATCATATAGTAATCATAATAAAACGACCTCATTTTTATTGGAATTAATGATAAATTTTCCTGCCTACATAGGAAATTAAACATACACATATTACGGTGGGTAATTAAAGGAAAATAAACATACATATATTATGTCCATAATTAAATAAATTAAATATACACATATTACGTCCATTTTACCAACCTATATTTAACACTTTAATCTTACTATGGTAATTTAACATAGAGATTCCATTTATTCAATTATAGTATATTTTTGTTACTTAAAATATATAATATCAATTAGTCATGCTCTTCCTTCTAGTTTTTGTTTAGACTTTTCCTAATATAATTTTTTTAGTAATCAATTGCGAGAACACTAATATACAAATCTTATAATTTTAAATAAATGTACACTTTCAAATATTAAAATTCTTTATAATTTCATCATTAATTTTATTATTTAAAAGAGTTAATACCATCTAAGGTCCTCCAAGTATAGTGATTTTGTCACGTTTAGTCATAAACTTTCAAATTGACCATCTATGGTCCTTCGACTTTCAAATTTAACCATTCGTGATCCAAGTTAACCACCCATGGTCCTTCAACTATTAAATCTTAACCAATCATGATAGGAACCCGCCTAGTTAAATTTCGAAACTTGAAGGATCATTGGTGGTTAACTTGGACCACAAATGGTTAAATTTGAAAGTCGAAGAACCATAGATGGTCAATTTGAAAGTTTAGAACTAAACGTGGCAAAACCACTATACTCAGAGGACCCCATGTAGCATTTAACTCTTATTTAAATATATAATAAAAAATTTATCTGTGCATCGCACAAGTGATTTACCAGTTAAACCTTAAGGCTCAAGCCCATAACCTCCCAAATAAAGGAGTAACTTGGTACCACTAGACTACAAGGTCCTTGGCAATTAGCTTTACTCCTTTGTTGTATTAAGATACAACTTTTGAGAAAACATTTTTCTTCATATGTTCTTCATTTGTTTATTTTTGTTTTACAAACAACTAAGGAACTACTAGAATCTATTCATATTCCTAGTCGACAAAAACCATAAGAGTGGATTATAGAGTAGCTTCCTTAGAGTAACTACAATAGTTATATTGTTTCGATTAGGTTTGTGTCCAACAAGGAGAGAGAAGTGGAAGAAAATTGGGAAAAAAATATATTTAAAATATCACAGTCAAAATAAATTAAAATTTTAATTGTATTAACGCATTACCGCGCCAATCAATAGCACCAGTAGTTACTGGTGAAATAATCTGGTCAATCATTTGACTCCAATTCCACCCTGATGGTCAAATCAAATTGAATACAATCATAATTCAAATAAAATTGGAAACAATCAAGACCATAACATGCAACATCTCCCTATCCTACATACCTATTACTCTCATATATAGTAGGAACAAGAATGTGTAGTGTAGCTCATGTGTGCTCTACTCTTTTAGCAACAACACATTTTCAAAGAATATACCATATAATCAAAGAATTAATACACAATATGAAGCAAATCTTCTAACATAACCTTGCATGATCACAACCTAATGAGTTTAAGACACTTCTTCTTGACTTTCAATGAAATATTTTTCTTCTTTTTCTTCATTATCAAACACTTCTTCTTCAATTCATCAATTGCTCCAATCCTTCAATTCATATATATTCAATTAGCTAAGCATAATTTCAACTGAAGTGAAAGAATCCATAGCCCATAGGCAATTAGTTTAAATTTTATTATTTTGAACTTTTTTGAAAACCCAAAAATCCAAACTTCATAATAAAGCAACATTGAAATAAAAGATGGGGGAGAACCTCCCAGTACATAGACTCAGACTGATCACTAACTGTTTTTGCCAAAACATGGGCAACCAATTCACAAAACAACTAATATGACAAAACTCTAAAGAAACAAAAGAATTACGTAAAGAAAGACAAGAATGAATAACAGAGCCAACATAAGTTCTATCAATATGATCCCCTTTTAAAGCTAGCACGAACTAAATTAAGACAATCAGAAACCATTCGTATCACCTCCACAGCTCAAGCTTTGATCCAGGAAAGTGCTTCCTTACCGCCAGAAGAGAATTATAAACACAGTCCAATAATGGTCCATTAGTTGCTGGCACAAACACCCCATGCAGGTCAAATAAACATGACCCATACTCTGCCTTAGCCACTGCAGCCGTGAAACCAACAGTAGTAGCTTAGTGTGACACCCCAAAAATCCACACTCCAAACCATGAATTAATTGAGTAATTAATTCTATTTCTTTTGAGGAATTGATTCCTAAAATCCTGATTTTTGATACTCAAGGACTAGTATTTGACTAGTCAATCTTTAAGTTGTGTTGTACCTTGTGTTTTGAGAGGAGTTCCCTTGTGCCTTACACTTTCTAAGAGTTAGTAAGGGTATCCTTGTCTTTTCACCAAGAGCTAGTTTTGTAACCTAAACCTAGAAGACTTCTTCATTTCATTCCCTTACATTTCCTAGAAAATATCTCTTCCTTCTCTCTAGAAAACAAGAGTAGCTTGTTCTTCAAGCCAAAAGAAGCCTTTGTCAAGATTCCAAGTTTTGCTTCCAAGATTCAATCTTTCCTCTCTTTTGGCATCTAGAAGGGTAAGATCTAAGCTTGTCTAGTCTTTTTGGTTCCATCTTAGTTGTCTTTTCTTAAAGGTTGGATCTTTATGATCTTTTGGTTTGATCTTGAAGTGGGTTTGGCTAATGAACTTAGTGGAGAGCTTGTTGTGGTGTAAGAGGAGTCTTTTGGTCTTCAAGAGGTAACCCATGCTCTACAAAACCTATTTTGCTTACCTATATATTATTTCTTGGCTTCTACTTGTGTTTTGCTATGAAATGTGAGAGTTTATGCATTTATCTTGTGATATTGCATATCTAGAGCTTGTGTTTAGGATTCCTTTGTGCCATTGCTTGGCATTTTCCATGGTTCAAGTCATTTTGTTGTGTTTGGTGAGATTTGGCATGTTTTGGACTTGAATTTGTGTTTGGAGGAGAAAATCCCCGAAGGGATTTGTTGTGGTACAGGGACGTACCCGCGGGCGGAACGGCGGGCGGGGCACCACCCGCGGGGAACGTATGCCCTGCGGGTTGTGTACCCGCGGGCGGGACCACAGGTGGGGCACTACTCGTGGGTCCACCCGCGGGGAACACGGTGGCGTTTGGCTCGGGATTTGTTCCCCGTGTTTTGTTTGTCTCGGTGTTTGATCTTTTGGCTTCCCGTTGTTCTTTTTTGGAACTATTTGAGCGTCTTCTTGATGTTTCATAGGTCTAGAGCTTTATGGTAAGTATCCATGTAGGATCCTTGGTGTTGTGAATCGGGCTAAGTGTTCAACATTGTGTTTCGTTGAACCGTGTGGGGTCTTGTGTGTTCCTCGGAACTATCTTGAGTTTCCCCGTTGTTGAGCTTGCTAGTTATTATCTTAATGCTAGCGTCGTTGTTGTTGGGTGGTGACCCGTCTCTTGATTAAGTGTGTTTCATACCTTCTTTGCAATCCGTTGCTTGATTCGTGTGAGTGGTGGTGCGTGTGTGGCTCTACCTGGATTGCACGATTAGTGGTATGGGACACTAGTCACCAAGGTATTGCAGCGGTCCTCGTGGTGGCCGTGACGTGATTATGGAGTTGTGGCTGAGTCCACGTGTTTGGGGGATAACATTGTGTTATCCGGGCATGTGTTGCCGTGAATTGGTGGGTTTTCGTTGGTGGTCTGTAGGTGGGGGACGACGGTCCCGGCGGAATAAGGTTGGACTTGGCTGTATAGGGGTTTTCTAGAGGTAATGGTTGGCTTCGAAGGTACAAGGATGGGGGTAGCCACAAGGTTGGAACAGGGCATAAGGAAGGCATATCAACTCGTGATGGGTGATGTCACGAGGGCTTGTGTAGCCGTGTGGTGAGTTCTCTTCTCTCGTGACGTGTGTAGTCATGGAGGCTTGTGTTGTTTTGGCATGTGTTGCCGGTTGGGTGAGTCTTTATCCTTGTGTGTGGTTAACCTTTGTGGTTGGGATGTGTTTCCGGTTTTATCCTTGTGAGTGGTGAGTCTTGTGTTGTCTTTTGATCTTGGCTTTTGACTTATATATATGTATTCCGTTTCGAAAATGGTTTTCATATTATATATCTACCTATTTATGATACTTAACGGTATTGGTGGGTTACCAGCATCTTTCGCTGACCAGGCGTCGCCCCGATGTTTATCTTTGTATCTTTCAGGTGATGCGTAGTCGACCGCGATGTCTAGAGCCGGTAGCTTAGCACCTGTATCTTTAGACAGTGTTGTTGTTGAGGCCTGTGTGCCAATGTCTTTAGATTGTTCTAGTTTGTTGTTTTTGGGATAGTGATACACTTGCAGATTGTCGCCATAGCGTATACCTAGTGTGGTATACGTGGCATAACACCTCGTTTTGGATTCCTTTTATCCAGTTATCTTTTATCTTCCGCTGTGCTAGTGTCTTGTTGTTAATCTGCATGTGTTAAGACTTGTTTTTAAGTCGTGTTTTTGGGGGGTGTTACACTTAGTCATTTGTTGCAAGGAAGGAGGATCTTTTGCAGTTTAACAGAGTCATGGAACATCAATACGTTGTAGTTTATTAGATGTTTCTTTGTTTCATCATCTAATACACTAAATCCATACTTTTTCTTCCAATTTTCTGTCTTTTCTGGTGCAGAAGGAATGATTAGTTTCTCTATATTATGGTAGCAAAGTACCTGCAAAATAAATATATCACCATTAAGCATGTCATATATGTTGGGAAATCAAAATATTTTTTTTTTTTTTAAAAACATTCATATAGAGAAATAAAGGTGTTAGTTTGGTCATACCGGAGCACGTGCAATATGCGTGTATGACAACTTAATTTAAGCGAGAAAAGGAAATTAAAAGTAAATTACTTATAAAAATATAATTTTAAAAATAAATTAAATAACTTATAGATTCAATAGCAATCATAAGCTTTCTACACATCCCTTTACGTGTATGAGCAAATGGGGAGCAATGAAAGGCATTTCAGCAATCCTTTTGTCATGGATCCTATAAATTAAAACAACATTATATATACATAAAAGCTTCAATATTTGAATTATGTGATATAACATATATAGTTGAGGTGGGGGAAAGAGATTCTCATTAATATGATAAGAATTTCACATTGTGTAAAGTAACTTCGCATTCTCTTAAACCAAAGAAGAGCATATATATGTTCAAATGTTTACATTTTAGAGATTATGTGATTTACTATGAACCAAATTGACACATATATAACAAATATATATACCATGTTTGACGATTATTAATTACCTTAGAGCTGCAACACAAACTATTTCCCCATTTGTTTCTAAGACAGCGGTGTAGAAGCCTTTGAAGTCAATTCTATTGAAATTTGAACTGCAAAAGTTTAAATGAAACAGATCAGAAGGTGTCTATCACTATATATATGTCAATATAATGTCATAATTCAAAAATGAAATTTCTTTTCTAACTTTAGATTCATGATATATGTTATAGAAATTTCTATAGTGTCTAGCTAATACATACCCACAGTTGTAAATGACGTTTTTGATAACGTTAATTTTTGTGTAGCTATCAATGACTTGTCCGAAAGAATCCTCCATTAATTTCCAGGCAACAGCGAGCTTGGAGTGACAAATTGTGCTTTCATAATCTTCATCTATGTACACACCGTGCTGATGATCTAACTGACGGAGTAATGTCCATGAATACCCTTCTTCCAATTCATTCTTTAATCCTAACAATGTTTTCTCCAGTTCCACAGAAACCTTATTTGCAACAAAAACATAAAATAAATCATTAAAATCTATAAATGAACTAGACACACAAAAAAGAGTCAAGGAAAATGATATATGTAGAGTATAACTCTTGTCACGTGTACAAATTTTATTGGGTAAAGAAAAATGAATGATCTAATGAAAACAAGGGCCCAATTTGTTGTTTAAATGAATATATGTATACATATATAAATAGGAAAGCTTACCTCTATGCAATTCTGGTCACAGTAAAGATCATGAGAGACCATGTTTAGATCAAGTTCTCTTTCTTCCAACCCTTGACAGCACTTCAAATGATCTGCAGTTCAATAACAATGAAAATTTTGTTTAACTTATAATTTTGGTAATGAGAGTAAATCAAACATTGACTTTATTTAATTGCTTACATTTCCTGCCACATTGATGGCATTTGTTCATCAAATCATCATCCATTTCTCCACAGAACTTGCAGATACAATATGGACAATACCATAAACCCTCTGGAACCACCTGAAATTGGTGAACCAAAAAAAGTTATAATTGCTTTATGTTCGGATCAAACACTTACCACTATTTCAAAAACTGTAATTAGTAGTGAAGACACAACTTTATTTCTTTATAGCAAAATGGGAAGCAATGAAAGGCATTTCAGCAATCATTTTGTCATGGATCCTGTAAATTAAAACAACATTATATACATAGAAGCTTCAATATTTGAATTATGTGATATAACATAGTTTGATGCAAACACTCCTAAAGAATTGAATGGGAGGCGGGGGAATGAGATTCTCATTTATATGATAAGAATTTCGCATTGTGTAAAGAAACTTCGCAATCCCTTAAACCAAAGAAGAGCATATGCGATATACTATGACCCAAATTTGCACATATATAACTAATATATACCATATATGTTTGATGATTATTACCTTAGAGCTGCAACACAAACTATTTCCCCATTTGTTTCCAAGACAGCGGTGTAGAAGCCTTTGAAATCAATTCTATTGAAATTTGAAGGTGCAAAAGTTTAAATGAAACAGAAGGTGTCTATCACTGTATATATGTCAATATAATGTCAAAATTCAAAAATGAAATTTAGTTTCTAACTTTAGATTCATGATGTTATAGAAATTTCTATAGTGTCTAGCTAGTACATACCCATAGTTGTAAATGACGTTTTTGATAACGTTAATTTTTGTGTAGCTATCAAAGATTTGTCCGAAAGAATCCTCCATTAATCTCCAGGCCACAGCGAGCTTGGAGTGACAAATTGTTCTTTCATAATCTTCATCTAGGTACACACCGTGCTGATGATCTAACTGACGGAGTAAAGTCCATGAATACCCTTCTTCCAATTTAGTCTTTAATCCTACCAATGTGTTCTCCAGTTTCATAGAAACCTTATTTGCAACAAAAACATAAAATATATCATTAAAATCCTAATTTTAGACCACAAAACATTAGTAGTTACTCTTCATTACTAAAATTGTTACATGGGTCTTGAATGCAAGTTAACACCTGGAATTCTACTTACTTTTAATTAAGATATTAACGTACCCTTGATTATGTTGATTTACGAATAAACGAAAACATAAATTAAAAGTAAGAAAAACAAAAACCAGGAACCAGATATTGATCACGCAGTTCGGAGCACTTCTCCTACGTCTGCCGGGCAATTCACGTCAGCCCAATCCACTAGATGTTCACCAAGATTACAAAGTGGGTTGAATACATAATCTTCCCAACATCCGTTGCCGGAGAGGTACATGCTTGCCGAATGATCACTTCAAGGGAAATTAGCCTGATGATGTACTGCTCATTTCTCCATCCTTGTTGTGCTGTTTGAGAGTCCATGAGCCATGAAAGGATGGTTGCAGGTTTCAACGATGACGATGGCTTGCTGATATTCCTCCTACAACGTAAACGGACCCTTGAAGCTTCAGGTTTCGTTTCATCACAGTTTTCACTCGCGGAACGGTGGAGCTTGCGTCTCACGTAATTAATCAAGAATCGTATATCCTGAGAATATATATATATATATATATATATATATATATATATATATATATATATATATATATATATATATACTAATAAGAGCCCAAGAGAGTTAGGCCTATAATGGGAAGAAAAAATGGCGGTCAAATTTTTTTAATCAAATGAATGGCTCAAAATGAATATGATTTTCCGTTAACTTTTCCAATAAATATTATCTTTTCCATTAATTTCTGTTAGTTCACCGTTAACATACTCATTGATTTAAATAAGAAAGGTCTTTGGTTCGAACCTCATCCCAATCAAAGTTGGCATAATTAGTACTCTATTTTACTCTTATTAAATTAAATAATAATTTAGTAGCTACAACCAAAAATAATACATATGCATTTCATTAATTTAGAATTATGTGTCCACAATGTCTTTATTCAAAAAAAAAAATTATTAATTATCAATAAATTAAATAAGAGAAATAATTTCATTAGTTATATTGTATTTATTTTTCTCCAATATAAAAGTTCTTTACATTCAAATTCATCAATTGATTATATTCGCTACATTGTCCCTACATGTCTTTATTAAAAATAATTATTCATTATCAATAAATTAATTAAGAGAAATAATTTTATTAGTTATATTGTCTTTATATTTTTCCAATGTAAAAATTCTTTACATTCAAATTCATCAATTGATTATATTCACTACTTTGTGTATTATATTTTTTGTGCACTATTTTTTAATTAAATATCAAAGTTATAATACAAAATAATGTTATATATTTATTTACCAAGTATTTTACTAATACCGTGAAAAAATTTTAAAAATATAATTAATAAATTCAATCATAAACTACTTGAGGGATTTGTTGACAAAGGGAGTGATTCAAATTACACAACAAATTGATTCAAAACTAACAAAATTACCGTTGTCATCATCCTCAATCGCATCTCTACAATCTTCCATAAAAACTAAACCATTAGGGTTCTGTTACCAAGACTCTTCCTCCTCAATTTCCTTTTGTTGAAGCAGAGCTCCTTAAGTATCTTCAAACTCATACCAGACGATATAAATTGCAAAACATATTGAAGTACGGTGGAATATAGTTAGAAGAAGGTAGAAAATTCATACGAAAAGAAAGCAAAGAGATGAGTCTGAGAAGCCCTACCCATGTCCCATGTGGGGAAAGAAATGATTGGGAGGGTAGGGATTAAAAGAATTATAAATTTGTATTTATATGATGGAAAATACTAATTCAAAAGGAAAGTATAAAAATTTATTTATTTAAGTTAATAACATTATCATCATCACCATCATCATCATCATCATCATCATCATCATCATCATCATCATCATCATCATCATCATCATCATCATCATCATCATCATCATCATCATCATCATCATCATCATTATTATTATTATTATTATTATTATATATAATATTAAATATTATATATTATATATATATATACACACACACACACACACACACACTAATAAGAGGCAATAAAGTTATGTCCATGTTTTTAGTGCTAACCACTTTGTACATTGTGCTTTACTGCTTTTAGAGTTGTACTATAGAATTTTTTTTGGACAAAAAATTCTTTATCGTTAAAATTTGTTAGTTATTTTTTAAAATATAAATATTGGGCATATGTTTGTGCACATAAAAAAGACTATATATATATATATATATATATATATATATATATATATATAGACAATGTTCACATCCCATTGCCTCCAATTGAACAAGTATACACATCATTCTCAAAATTTTATTAACACATGAAAACTTCTAAAGAAATTTGTAATTTAATTTTTACCATATCATTATAACAATATCTATTGTAATCATAAATTTCAAATTATTTATTATCATCCTCTATTGACAGCAATTGTCATTAACAAACTCCCAAAACAATTTGTCTCAACAACGAATTGAAAATAAAAAATCAGTGACTTCATTATATTATTGTGGATGAAAAGTAATTATGTCACTCTATTACTATTATTAAATTAAATAAATTAGTAGCTACAACAAAAATAATTCATATACATTTCTTCAATTTAGAATTAGATGTCTACAATTCCTTTATTTTAAAAAAAATTATTCATTATCAAAAAAGTTAATATATATATATATATATATATATATATATATATATATATATATATATATATATATATATATAATTTCATTAGTTATATTATATTTATTTTCTACAATGCAAAGAGTCCTTACCTTCAAATTCAGTAATTAATTATATTCACTATACTGTCCATTTGTTTTCTTTTTGCACTATCTTGTAATTAAATATAAAAGTTATAATAATGCAAAATATGGTTATATATTTATTTACCAAGTATTTTTATAATACCATGAAAAAACAGTTTGAAGTCAATCATATTAACTACTTAAAAAGGATTTGTTGATAAATATGGTATTCAAATAATTCAAGAAATTGAAGCGGCAAACTACCTCTTAATATCTCTGGATTACATCACTAACGAAGGACTGCAGCGCACGTGACAAGGAGGTAGAAGGCATCCTGCATAAGTCTTTACCAGTAGATGAAAATTGCATAAAGGGCATTAGAGTAATCTCCCCTACGTGACTATTATAACAGTCTTTCCCTCCTGTACAATGCATTTACCCCATGTATATATATATCTAGTGTGTAAAACCATGCTTAAGTCTTCTTGAATAATATCTTCAGTTCGCTTCTCTCACCATTCATGTAACTGCTTTTTGATATGGAATCAGAGCAGCGCTCTTACGCCGCCGCCACCGTCTCAGGCACCGGTGAATCCAACCAAGGAGCACAACCCCTTCCACGATGATTCTACAAAGTATTCGTTATGGATGAAAAATTGGAAAGACAAATTACTTTGAACAATCTGAATCTAGACATTCTAGATGTTAGCAATGCTAATGCTATACAAGTTGAGCAAGTTCATGCATCTGATGAGCTAGTTGCTGCTTCTTTAAACTCTAACAATGGTAGACGAAGTGGTAATACGAAAGCTAAATGCACATTTTGTGGAATGACGGGGCATACTGTAGACAAATGCTACATGAAACACGGTTATCCCCGGGATGGGTTACCGGGGTACAAGTCAAAAGGCGAGCAACAACAAACCACTGTAGCAGTGATGAACATGGGGGATCAGAGAATAACTTCAGAACAATTGCAGAAGATCATCTCCATTCTGCAACCCCAGGCCAGCCAAACTTCGGGCCAAGCACCATTGTTGTAGTGTCCTTAATCCCCAACTTCAATGAGCTGCAATCCAATGATAAAGGCAAGTATCCCATAACTCTTTGTTAATTCTCTTTCCATATGTCAGTCTTCTTGGATTCTTGATTCAGGGGCAACTAATCATATTGTCTGCTCCATAGATTTCCTTGTTGATTATCATGAGGCTACTAGAACCGAGGTCAATCTACCTACTGGCCAAACCATTGAAGTCAAACACATAGGGAATATGAAGCTAAATGACAATCTATGGCTGAAAGAAGCTCTCCACATCCCTTCATTTAAATTCAACATCATTTCGGTCAATAAGCTCATTCAAGATACAAGCTGCACACTGATTTTTATGCTTGGATAGTGTTTAATTCAGGAGAATCATGGAGTGATGGTTGGTATTGTAACACCCCGATTTTCAGCATAATTTAAAACCATTAAAGCTTATGAAATAGGAACAAGTCTATCATTAATACCAAAATAAGCAAAAGCTAAGCATAATAGTTTAGGTGTGCTATGCCACATCTAAGCTAGAGAGCCTAGATGTACAGGCTACCAACTAACTAATCAAAATCCATAAACAATATCTGAATACAAAAGCGGCTCAAGGCCAACAACTAAAGCTAACTACTAACTAAACTGGGAACCGCAGCTCCGACTAGCGCGCTCACGAGCCAACTAATATGTACCTGAAAAACAGGCGGTATTACAACCATTATCGAATAATGCTAAGCAACCCACTCCCATCCGTTGAGTACAATAAGTATATAAATATAGGAAACCATTTTGAGACCTGGCAATACATAGATATAATCCTAAACAACTCTAGCTTTAAAATCAGGAATGAGACTCAAGACACACCGACTTGACACGACAAGACACGTAAAGACACAAGCATTCAGGCTATGACCACAAGATAAGACGACAATAAGACTCAACAATAACAAACAACAACAACAAACACATCCATGTTCCAACCTTAAACCAAGTTCCAACCTTTACTCCTCTCCATCCCTATAACAGTTCCAACCTTTACCTCCAGGCTACCCTGTACACCAGCACCCTTATCGCTCCGGAGCACCGCATGCTCCCCCGCCTATATTTTCGCCAACAAGACCACCGATCTCTTAGCACACTGATGTGAGCCTAATTGTGCACATTTTTACTATTAATTTGATTATATTTGATAGACTTGAGTTCATGACTTTGTTAATTTAATTGCATAATCCTTTATATTATCATTTAGTTATGGCTCACACTCGTTTTGAATGTTTTACGGTGTTTGTTAGTGCTTTTGAACATTTGTAGGTCAAGGTTGAAAGAAAGAGAAATTTTAAGACAAATTTGGAGTCAAAGTGGACCATAAGACGGCGTACCCAACAGGTTCGACGCGTTGAATTGAGTGAAGCAGCGCAAATTCCAAAAGAAGAAAAAGGGGCATTGAATTAATCCAAATGAAGGGCGCTGCAATTTCCAAAATCAAAAGTGCCAAACTTCCAAATTAAAAGGTGCTGAATTCCAAAATCAAAAGTGGGCTGCAATAATCTCTAAACCAAAGTGCAGCAACTTTATTCTAAATAAAAAAAGGAGTTGATTTCCAAAAGGGCGGCGAATTTAATATTTAATTAAGAAAATTCCAATTCCGCCCCAGCTTTGTACCTACTATAAAATCCCACCTTACTCAACCCTAATATTCATTTAGAGATCTTTGGACACAAGAAATAGAGAAATCAAAAGCCACAAGTTATCTTGGGAGTCAAGAAGAAAGTTAGGGAGATTTGGGAGAATCGTCTGGTTCAATCTTGTACTCTTTTGATAATTTGTATTTTTTTTATTATTATTGCTATGTATAATTTAGCCATGCTTGACTAAATTCTTTAGAGATTCTTGGGTAAAAAGTGTTTATGAACCTATGTGTCTGAGCTCTCAGATTCTTTGATATATTATTATTGGGGGTTAATACTTGTGTTGCAATTGTGTTTATCATTCTTGTTGCTAGTAGTTTAGGGCCCGAATTACTTGCTTCATAGCTTTGTTTGTGTCACAACGAGAGTTGGGCATAACTTATGGCACACACAATTGCACCTAACTGTTGCACCTTGAGAAAGGGTAATTTTGTTAGGGAGTTTAATTATTGATTATTGCACATCGAGAGATGGTAGTAGTTAGGAATTTATTACGATGCTTGTTCTTGTTTTATTGAGTGTTTATACCACGAGAGTGGATATTCACTAGTGTTAGTGACTACGAGAGTAGCTCTATACCACTTTGCATCCTCACACCCGTTTAAACCCATATTTAATATTACATTAGGTTAGGCACTAGGTGATTAAACACTTGACTCCCAAGAATCTTATTCTCTCTCTACTATTTTCAAAACCTGAATCATTGCTTTAGTTTATTTATTTATTTGCATTCTTCACTCATAATCATTAGGATTAGCTTCTCGTGAATAAATTAGTAATTGGTGCTTAAAAGCTCACTTCACTGTGGATCGATAACTCATTACTCAGAGTTTATTTGTTTGAAAATATACTAAATTACACATGCAGTGCCATTAAATAGATTATACTGCAGCACAATAACATAAGCACACGCAGTGCAACAACATAGGTACCGCAGCACCATAACATAAGCACGCGCTGTGCATCAACCGCCAACATATCTTTTCCACCAATCTCATATCTTTTCTCATCATGGACAACAACACAATAAACAATACTCAACAACAACTTCATCAATGGGTAATCGGGGAAGGGGTATGTAACACCCGTACAGACTCTCACCGATAAATGACACCATTACAAACACATGACTAATGGGGGACAACATAGACATTACTTACAATGACAACAAGACAACCACGACACTTGAGGGGACATTACAACTCATCCTTTAGACCAACGGAATACAAAACTAGACCACATGCAATAACCAGAACTCACAAATCCTAATATGGTGCTCGGGACATCATTCTAGACTCACAAACATCAAACGAGGCACAACAGGGCACCGGGAAACAACCAACGGGGCAAAACGGTTCACCGCACCGCCCGTACCAGCGGGCGGTACGGCGGGAGGACAACCTCCCGCCGGACTGCGGGGGTTCGTTTCCCCACCGACTACCGCTGGAACACATGTTTCTTGGCATTTTTCCCATCCCGGGAATCCATCAATTTTACCCAAAATCAAGTCCAAACACACTCAAAATCATATGAACAACAATAGGGACTTGAACACATAGAATAAGCCAAGAAAACAACACAATTGAACCCTAAACGCAAACTCTAAACATGCCAATACTCAAGGATAAACACATAATTGTTCAAGAGTATCAATAACCTCAAGAACATCAAAAACCCATCATATAAGACCCTAAAGACAAGCTCTAAACATATTTAAACACAAGAATCATGCATATAAATACTCACGAATATCAAGATCGTTAAGAAACCACAATATGAACCCTAAGACAAGCTCTATCAAGGCATAATCACAAAATCACACATACAACCATTCAAAGTAGCCAATCAATAAAAGATAGCAAGGAAAATAGGTTTTGTAAGACATGGGTTACCTCGTAGCTTTAATTAAATCCCTCACAACTCCTAAAATCCTTCTTCAAGATTTTCCTTCAATTGATCTTTCCTAAGCTAAGCTTGGTGATGGGGAACTCTTTGGCTAAGTTTCTTGGAGAATTTAGAGTAGTAGAGATATGGGTGGAAAGGGTTCTAAATGCTTTCTAATCCTCTTTATATAGTTTCAGGAATCCTAATCAGGTCTGTATAGTAAATGCCCACTTCCTGTATTTTTAACAGGTTCTAATAAAGGTAAAGGTCCATGATCCTTCATGGACCGCATTAATTAATTAAGGGATCCTGACCAAATTAAATCCTTTTTAACCATTCTTTAACGGAATTAATTAAATAATTAATTCAGGTTCAAGGAGCGTAACACGGAGTGCGTGTTACAGGGATGAGTAATAGGGTTCTAATGCCTTCCAATTTTTTTTTTAAATAGGTTTAGGATTCCTAATACGAATCTGGAAAGGTAAGAGGGTCCTCTTTATTTTATCTAAAAGGCTAACAGGCTTTTATTCTAGACAAAGGTCCACGGTCCTCCATAGACCCTATCAATAAATTAAGGGATTTGGCCCAGATTGTAAATAAACTTTGGGCTAGACACTTGGTGATGGCTTGGCACCTTGGATTATAAATAGCTATATAATACATATAGGTGGGCTTGAGATTTGGGTATTTTAAATCATCGTTTATAAAATAATTAACCAAAGCCCTTAGTAACATATTTAGGTATATATATATATATATATATATATATATATATATATATATATATATATATATATATACACACACATATATATATACTAGGTTTTGGGAAGGATTCGGTTCCAAAGAAAAGGGAAACAAGAATGGAAGTTTTGGTTTCAGACTTTGAGGACAACGTTAAATAGGAATAGGATCAAAGGTATTAAAGTTGCAATTTTGGAGGTAAGGTTGCCACCTTGCACGGAATCAATTGAAAGAAGGTATCAAGAACGAAGTTTTGGAGTGGGAGAAGGGATTTCTCAACGAGACGGTATTTGGTTTGACAAAGGAAGGAAGGGAATTCGGCTTGTTTCATGTTCAAACTTAAATAAAATCCTTACACCCAAATAACACATTTGACTTCACCCCTATATCTATAACCTTTGTTCTGATTATCATGTCTCTGGGGAATATACCACCAAAGACCATATTAACAGTATTTAATCCTAAATATCGGACGAACAAAATATATCAAATAATAAGGCTACGAACATGCAATTCATTATGTTAATTTATGAATGAATATAAACACAACATAGAAATCTCACTCACGGCATATTCATTATTTAAATGATTTACAATGATTTAAACATATAGGATCATAAACTGCACGTATTGAACATGCAATTTAAATATAATTATACCTAAATAAGAGGATAATATCACAAATGTGCAAATTCGAATAGTCACACAATCATTATAAAACATATAACAACACAGGAGAACCATATTCACAAATGGATATAAACATTCAATGTGCAATTTAGCATGTCATGGGCCAAATACCCCCTAAACAGGATTTACATCTAATCAGTGTACTAAAACATAATGCACCAAATACTCACAATTACATAATGACAAGCCTATCATATATGGTAGTCTTTTATAACTAACTATCATGTTATATGCGAAACCTGCAAATTGGCACACCTAAATATATATACTGTCGTAATTATGCTAAATATACAACTCCTTAATTCTATAGGCATAAAGCATGAAGGCATGTGAACATATTTCAAGTCTTAATAATAACTAGTCATATGGAATCGCACAGCACATATGCGTAATGTTCAACATGTTAAACCAGTCCATATTCAACAAGTAAATTCACGTACTCAACATCGCGGCATAGCCAACAATTGTCATATATATTCAGGAAGGTCATAGATCATATAACAATTACTCAAAATAACAAAAAATCGATTTTTGAGAAAAAGAAGATTTTCACGTAATACACAATATTCATGAGGATAATGGATCACATTACAATTATTCAAAAATAACGAAATAGATTTTTATTTGAGGAAAAAGATATTCATATGGGCATATAGAAGAATATTTTTATTTCTTATGGGGTTAAAACAATTTTGAGTAGACATAAATCTTACCTCAATTTCAAAATCAACAACCTAAACTTGATGACCCTTGAACCCTAATTCTTGAGTTAATGATTGATGGGAAGAGACTTATGAACAATGAGAAAACTAGGGTTTTATTTATTTGGGAGGGAAGGAAATGGCCACAGGGAGAGGATATGAGATGCGAACAAATATGATAGAACTAGGGTTAACTCATACAAAATATTTATAAAGGGAAATATAATTAGGTAGATTAGGGTTAGAGATATTATTGTATATAATACGATCGTAACGATTATATAAATACGTATAAATAAAGGAGGATGTTTCTATAGGCTTACAAGTATATATATAAAGATATATACTATATAGAGACGTACTGTATGTGGCACAACTATGGACAATTTAGGATTTAGGCAAGCTGATTAGGATTAGAAATATAATAATAATAATAATAATAATAATAATAATAATAATAATAATAATAATAATAATAATAATAATAACAACAATAATAGTAATAATAGTGATGTGCGTGTAAGTGTAGCATACAAATATAATTGGAATTGCTACATATTTTAGGAACGTGTATATATATATATATATATATATATATATATATATATATATATATATATAATAAAATTTATGATAATATATTTAGAATAGTAGGAATTTACATATATATATTTGTTTCGGGGTCTTTATCTTAATGGTCTTTTGGTTGATTCTTTAAAAGTATTAGACAAGTCATTGGAAGCTTGTGGTCTACCATGCAACATGGACCAAAGTCTAGAAGGATAGTTTTAAATAGTTTGGGGGTCAAAATAGATTTTTTCCAAAAATAATTTCTAGATGACCACTTGGTTTATGTTTCTAAGATTTCCCCCGGTTTTACTCGGATTGAATTTTGGGTCAAAACTTGGTACGCAATGTACCCGAGAATTTAGGATTTTAGAAATAGAATGAGTCCCGGTGTTGGATTTATTTAAAGCGTAGCTCAAAATAATTAATTCGAACACCGTTTTCATCATAAACATTTTGGAAGAATGAAAAATGACTATTTTGGAATTTCTTAAAATAGAATTTAGAAAATTAAATTTTGGGTTGTCACAATCACACTCTACTCCCCTTCAAAAGATGCTTCGTCCCCGAAGCATAACCATAAAGTAGAAAGGAACAAGGGGGACTCGACCAATAAGGAATTTAAGAGACTCAACGAAAGTTCAAGACGCCATAAAGATCACATATCACATTTTCCCCTCCTAAGAAATAAAGTTACGTCCCCGTAACTTTCATGCAAACTCATGCAAGTCCTTAGCCAATCTATAAATAAATCAATTAGGAAAATAATGCAACTTTCATGATCAAGCAAATAACCAAGTCCAGCATTTATTAAGAAACAAAATCAACAGTCTACCAAGTTTCAGCATTTATTAAGAAACAAAATCCTCACTGCGCGTCCTAATATTCAAATAATGCATATTGATCAAATAATTAAGAAAAGTGAGCAAAAATTGGTAAAATAGAATCACCAATTGCAAGTTCCAAAATATTTTATCAAATAACAAATATCCAAATAATTCAATTTGATCAAATAATTAAGCAACAATATGCGAAGAGCAAGCATAGGAAATATGACAGAAAGCTATGAATAAACTCACAGTCTCACCGTGCGTCCTAAGATTCTCACATCCTAAATACTTATGACACCCCCAATTTTCAACATAATTTAAAACCATTAAAGCTTATGAAATAGGAACAAGTCTATCATTAATACCCAAATAAGCGGAAGCTAAGCATAATAGTTTAGGGGTTCTATGCCACATCTAAACTAGAGAGCCTAGATGCACATGCTACCAACTAACTAATCTAAGTCCATAACCAATATCAGAATACAAAAGCGGCTCAAAGGCAACAACTAAAGCTAACTACTAACTAAACTAGGAATCGCAGCTCCGACT